GTAGGCGTTGCCGTATGATCTCTTCATCCAACTACCATCTGCTACAACGGTTATATATGGAATACCGTTTATAGTTTCATTTCTCTCAAGAGCAAGCTGCTTTTCAGTTTCAACAGCCATTTTCATATTTTCCATGGCTGTTTTCTCGAAATTATCGATTACATTTTCTCGAGATTTTACATAAGTTTTATCGGCCATACATGGAATACCCATGGATGCACACAGCTCTTCCAGCTGAGCAAAGCCAATTCCAATTGTAACAGTTCCTGTTACAGCAGCCGTATTAATGTCCAATATTTCCGGTTCTGTGGGTTCTGACCAAATTTTAGCTTGGTAATGACACATTTGGCATTTGAAGAACAACTGTGTCTTAAACCCATAGCGACAAGATTTTATGAGTTTCCAATCTTTAAATTGGCACTCTATTCCTCGTGCATGATTATCGAATGTTCTATGGATTTCATTCCATAGAAAAGAAATGTCGACAATGCGACGGCCTTGAGGCAAATTTTCCTGAATACGATTCATATCCAGAGGGCTATTTTGGATAACAAAATCTTTGTCATCTTCGCAAAATTCGACATCTTGTTCTGCTTTATACATATCTGTATTTGACTCCTGATAGTGCATTATTTGATTATTAGCTTTCGAATCCATCGTATCGGAAAATAATTCTACCGATTTTTCAAAATCGATGGATTCATCGCTAATATCCATGCTTTTGGAGCTATTTGAATCTTTGCTATTTTTACAAAGTTCAGTTTTTACATTAGACATACCTATATGTGACTCTTGACATAGCATTGTTTGAATATTAACTTTCGAATCCATCGTATCGGGAAATAATTCTACCGATTTTTCAAAATCGATGGATTCATCGCTAATATCCATGCTTTTGGAGCTATTTGAATCTTTGCTATTTTTACAAAGTTCAGTTTTTACATTAGACATACCTATATGTGACTCTTGACATAGCATTGTTTGAATATTAACTTTCGAATCCATCGTATCGGGAAATAATTCTACCGATTTTTCAAAATCGATGGATTCATCGCTAATATCCATGCTTTTGGAGCTATTTGAATCTTTGCTATTTTTACAAAGTTCAGTTTTTACATTAGACATACCTATATGTGACTCTTGACATAGCATTGTTTGAATATTAACTTTCGAATCCATCGTATCGGGAAATAATTCTACCGATTTTTCAAAATCGATGGATTCATCGCTAATATCCATGCTTTTGGAGCTATTTGAATTTTTGCTATTTTTACAAAGTTCAGTTTTTACATTAGACATACCTATATGTGACTCTTGACATAGCATTGTTTGAATATTAACTTTCGAATCCATCGTATCGGGAAATAATTCTACCGATTTCTTAAAATCGATGGATTCATTGTTAATATTCTTAATGCTTCTGGAATCATTTATTTGTTGAGCCTTCATCCGTTTTAGTAACTGTCGCCTGCAAAGAAAAATAAAGATTAGTATTTTGTAAAATGTTGTTCAAAAAATAAGGTGTTATGTCACAATTATATATTTTATTATTTATTAATATATTTCGAAAAAAATCTCTGAAAAAGTGCAGTCTTTTGTTTATCTTTATTTATTAGTATAAATTAATATATTACTAAATACACAATAGTTATATTACTAAAAATTAACATTAAAATTAACATTGTGTGATGTAATAAATGTAATTTTGACAATATAAAAATTTTTTTTATTTAGAACACACATGCAAACCGCATGTAATATGTATTACAACCAGCTCACGAATAAAAATCGCCTCTGGGTTTTTTTAATCAGTGCGTACATGCAAACCGCATCTGGTATGAAATATTACGACCAGCTCACGAATAAAAATCGCCTCTGGGATTTTTTAACCAGTGCGTACATGCAAACCGCATCTGGTATGAAATATTACGACCAGCTCACGAATAAAAATCGCCTCTGGGATTTTTTAACCAGTGCGTACATGCAAACCGCATCTGGTATGAAATATTACGACCAGCTCACGAATAAAAATCGCCTCTGGGATTTTTTAACCAGTGCGTACATGCAAACCGCATCTGGTATGAAATATTACGACCAGCTCACGAATAAAAATCGCCTCTGGGATTTTTTAACCAGTGCGTACATGCAAACCGCATCTGGTATGAAATATTACGACCAGCTCACGAATAAAAATCGCCTCTGGGATTTTTTAACCAGTGCGTACATGCAAACCGCATCTGGTATGAAATATTACGACCAGCTCACGAATAAAAATCGCCTCTGGGATTTTTTAACCAGTGCGTACATGCAAACCGCATCTGGTATGAAATATTACGACCAGCTCACGAATAAAAATCGCCTCTGGGATTTTTTAACCAGTGCGTACATGCAAACCGCATCTGGTATGAAATATTACGACCAGCTCACGAATAAAAATCGCCTCTGGGATTTTTTTACCAATGCGCACATGCAAATCGCATCTGATATCAAATGGTACTAACTACTATTAAAATACACATAATCTCAATTTTTAGTTAAAAATATAGATAAGCAAAAGACTGTTTTTTCAAAGATTTTTTTCCAGATTATATGTTCTGTGCGCACAATCTCGAAATCACAAGTATATTTTGTTACATAGAAGAAAAGAGTAATATGCAAGTATTATTGTCTTTCATTCACTGATCGTATTTTAGCAAACAAAGGAAACTGGTGTCATTGAAAATTATTCCAAGTTCAAACTGTGTGCAATTATTTTACAAGCAGATGAATCAGAGTGAGATTCATCATTAGGTGCATGTTTATTACCAGAATAATTGAAAAGAAATATGCATACTGATTAGTAAACATTCACTCATCTAACAATGGATTTCACATTCTAATTCAGGCTTCCTGCTTGTAAAAATCTGATAATTGCGCATATCTCGAACTATAATTTCCTATTATACCGGCTATTTTGTTTAATTGCCAAATTCCGAGACAACGCTTTTATTCCTTTCTTTCATATTATATAACAATATACAGAGTGTGTCAAAAGTCCCGGACCGGTCGAATATTTCATAAATTATGCACTTTAGAAAGAAATGTTTCAGACAAACGTTGTATGGCTTGAAGGGGGCCATCAGATAGTGGCAATGATTTGACCTTGAAGAGTCATTTGAAGAGTCATTTGAATTATCTTATCTTAATACTTTTATGTACAAAATAATGAGAGGAATCAATTGGTGTAAAAAAAAGCATAGTTTTTAAGAAAAAAATATGTAATGTGCAATTAACAATTACATATTTTTTTTTTAAAACAACTATGTGTTTTCTTTACACCAATTGATTCCTCTCATTATTTTGTACATAAAAGTATTGAGGTAAGATAATCGAAAAATGAATATTTTATAAGATATTTTACGGTTTATGTAAAATTAAGAAATGATTTCAAGCCATATAACTGAAAAAGTACTCAATGAAGAAATACTTTATTATAGTGTTTTGGAAAGCTCTCGAGATAAGCTACACGAATATGTAATAAAAAATAGGGAATTCCATTTAAGAAATTGAAGATGACCTTTACGTCACCTTCAAATGACTCTTCAAGGTCAAATCATTGCCACTATCTGATGGCCCCCTTCAAGCCATACAACGTTTGTTTGAAACATTTCTTTCTAAAGTGCATAGTTTATGAAATATTCGACCGGTCCGGGACTTTTGACACACTCTGTATATGCCCATGACTTGGAGATTGCTTGTACAGATCACGCATAAATCAACGTTTATATTTTGATTATTATGGGCCTTTCTATTTCTTTTTCTTTCTCACACACACACACACACACACACACACACGGAGCCAAATTACAAAATTTATTTTTCTAAAACATTTGGCTATTTTATAAAGTGCATTCACATTCTCAAATGAAATGTTTTACAATACATTTGGCTAAAAGTTTTAGCCTTTTTATAAAATGCTAACAAACAATTCATAACATTGTCAAATATAACGATTTGTTGTACATCGTTTTGGTACTGGCCGGTTAACTTGAGTCTTTTTATGAATGACAAGCATTTTTACTGACGTTTTATGCAGTTTTCATTGAATTTTTAATGACTGTGCTATTTATTAATAATTAATTTATTAATTTATTAATAATTATTTTTGTATTGTATAAGGATAATTAAAAAAGTGTTAGGTATTGAAAAAATATTTTACAAAGATGGATGAGATTCCACAAAATGTAGTTGATAAGAACATCTTTTATTAAAATTCACAGAAATGATTAGTTATCTAAGTAAAATTCAACAAAACTTGAAAATTTTTATTCAGATATTTATGATTTTTGAGCATTATTAATTACTTTTTGTAAAAGCTTGTAACGGTGCACCTTTCCCGACGCCGCGGATCGGCTCGCCGGAATCAGGGTTCGGGAGAAGGGGAGGCTCAGGCTCGCAAAGCACCACACAGTTCTGGGCGAAAATATGTTTATTTAATAAAAAGAACAGATAGATGAGAATTTCGGGCGGTAGTCCCGTACAAGTGTGCTAGGCTTAGTTTTTACGGGAAGCCGTGACGGAGCTGCGGAGGCGGCTTCGCTTAAACTAAATTTAAGAGCTAACAGGTACCTAATACTAACCGAGATATTTACAACGCTTATTCTACTAACGCGGATCGCGGAGAAACTAGGGGGGTCGCGTGCGGTATAGCACGGGCGCGGGCCTAGCAGGGTCTGCCAACCGAGGTCGGCTGAGGACAGGAGAACCCGTCCTCCGGGTGACGTACACGGGTGCCCCGTGGTACGTCGGGATACTGGACGTCGGTAGCAACCGACCGGGCCCGGTAGCAACCGGGCTCTAGACCAGGGGAATTAAACAGGACCCCCCAGAATAAACACGCGGACGACGGACGAGCAGTTTAACGGGTGACCGTGACGAAAGGTCGGTCGAGGATCGGGTAAGAGGAAAAAGAAAGAACAGTTTATTTCAAAACAATATTATTCCGCGGAGGGCCGTGAGATATGCAGAACGGGTGGGGCGGTTGTTGTCCGGGAAACGTGGGTACGGCTGTCCTCCAGGAGCTGCGGTGGTTTCCTCAGGTACCATGGATCCGGCTGTCCTTCAGGAGTTACGGCGGCGGTCGTTCCCCGGGTGCGGTGCTCGTCCACGTAGGCCGTAAGAGGGGCCCGTTGTTACCGGAGCCGTGAAAACGGCTAGTTGTTCCAAGAGCCGTGAAAACGGCTAATTGTTCCAGGAGCCGTGAGAACGGCTGTACGGATGCCAGGATGCGAGCCGGACAAGTCCGGACGTCGGTTGAGACCGACCGAGTACGGGAGCCCCGTACCCTGGACCGGGTCGTCCGTGGCTCGACGGAGAGTGGGTCGGAAGTAAGCCGGACAATTCCAGACGTCGGTTGCAACCGACCGAATACGGGAGCCCCGTATCCTGGACTGGATCGTCCGTGGCTTGACGGAGGGCTTCTGGACGTCGGATGCAGCCGACCGGGCACGGCTAAGGCCGTGCTCTGGACCAGAAGCAAGGATGGAAGAGGAGTTCGGTAGGCTTAGATTGCCCAGGGTGCGCCCTGTGGCTTCTAGCGTCCCGAGAGTCGGGACAGGAATAGGTACCGGTCTGCCGGAGCGGCCGCCTTATATACCCGGCTAACTACCCCCACTCGATATCCCCACGCGGTCATGCGCGTAGTAGTGGGGTAGGACGCGATTCTCAACCCGCGGTTCCCAATTCCGCGGCTCGGTCGAGGTGCTCAATCGGCGGCGCTTGGCGCCAAAAATGGCGCCGCGCTGTGTCGTGCGCTAGTAACGGCCTAGCCGTTACAAGCTTGTTATATAAATGTGTTCACATAAGATTGAAAATTCTCATTTAGAAATACACATAATTTTCTACAAACAAGTGGTTGTTCTCTAAAGATAGTTTATAAAAAAAAATTGAAATGAATCAGTCAGAATCTAAAACGATCCAAATTGTTAAACATTTAATTTTTCTATGATTTAAGAATGTGATGACCGTTTTATAAAATACCTACATGATTTAGAAAAAGATTTTGTAATCTGACTGATATATAACACATATATAAGACAAATATTTCTTGGTATACATGCAGATTATATATGATGCACTTACAAAACATACCATTATATATACAGATGAACAAATAAATGTAGGAAAAAAACAAAAAGAATAAAAGTCAGTGAGTAAAAATCCGCATAAATGTAATAAGACAATAAATTTATCATTTGATTTCTTCAAAGCGTAGAAAATTTAGAAAATAAAGGATAGTAGTTGCCTATACTTTAGTTGTTTATGTATGTGCTGTATATGCATTATATATAATCTGTATGCATATGTATAGCTGTGTATATGTACTGTGATTCTGAATTTTTTTTATATATAATTTACTGGTAAAGATTTATCAAACCAACTTTGGAAAAAATCCAAAAATATTCAAAACAGTCTTTAGAGTTTTATAAATGTTAGATAGATGTTAGTATTTATTTAGAATTAGTAAAAGTCGAGATCATTTTCTTGTGTTTCAAATATGTTTATATGTTTCTTCTGTTTCTAATACAAAATGAAATAAATTGAGTGATAAGAAAAAACAAAAAGAAGTAGTGAAAGAATTTTTTTCTCAGCTATATCTAAAAGCTATAAAAGTTAAATTTTGTTATAAAAATAAACTTATTGATAGATTGATACTCTTTCTATTAACGAAAAGAAAGTTTAGCTCACTCTTTTATATTTTGTCAGAATTACACATTTATTACTTATTGCAACATGATCTGCTACTGTGATATTTATTCAATTTTATATAAGAAACAGAAATAAATATATTTAGAACATTCTTTCCTATTTCTTGTTCTTGTTTCTTGATGAGAAAATAATTTCAACTTTTACTAGTCTTGTAATTTTAATTGTAAGTAAATACTAACATCTATCAACATTTATAAAACTTTAAAATAAAGATTTGTTTTGAACATTTTGGACTTTTTCCAAAGCTAGTTTTACATTTTACCAGTAAATTCTAGGTTTAGCTGAAATTCGAGATTTTATAGTAACATATAACAAATTTTATAATATATTTATAAATATTTTAATATTTTAATAATATACAGGGTGAGTCATTTGAATCTATCACCTCCAATAACTCGTTTGGGTGGCCAGGTATCGAAAAAAGTTTCATATAAAAGTTGTATGGTTTCTAGGGGGACATAAGATGGTACCATTGGTTTGACCTTGAAGAGTTATATGAAGGTTACGTGAAGGTCATTTTAAATTTCTTAAATGGGACAGCTTATATATTTTTGTATATTCTTGTAGCTTATCTTGAGAAGCTCTTTCCAAAACACTATAAATAAACATTTTTTCATCAAGTACTTTTCGAGTTATGAGGCTCGAAATCATTTCTTAATTTTACATAAACCGTAAAATATCTAGTAAAATATCCATTTTTCGATTATCTTACCTTAATGCTTTTATGTACAAAATAATGAGAGGAATCAATTGGTATAAAGAAAACACATAATTGTTTGAAAGAAAAAATATGTAATTTGCAATTAACAATTCCATATCTTTTTTTAAAAACAACTGTATGTTTTCTTTACACCAATTGATTCCTCTCATTATTTTGTACATAAAAGCATTAAGGAAAGATAATCGAAAAATAAATATTTTACTAGATATTTTACGGTTTATGTAAAATTAAGAAATGATTTCGAGTCTCATAACTCGAAAAGTACTTGATGAAAAAATGTTTATTTATAGTGTTTTGGAAAGCTCTCAAGATAAGCTACAAGAATTTATAAAAATATATAGGGTATTCCATTTAAGAAATTTAAAATGACCTTCACGTAACCTTCATGTAACTCTTCAAGGTCAAACCAATGGTACCATCTTATGTCCCCCTAGAAACCATACAACTTTTATATGAAACTTTTTTCGATACCTGGCCACCCAAACGAGTTATTGGAGGTGATAGATTCAGATGACTCACCCTGTACTTTATATATTATTTATATTTTTTATTTAGGAATTGTTTTAAAGATATAATTTATGAAAAATAAAATATAGAACAATTTTCATAATATTAGTAATGTTTTAATGGATGTTATGAAAATTTAATTACAAAATATTATCCTTTTCAAATGATACAAATCATCATTTAAGGTGTGATTAATGACATCTAAAAATCTGTCTTGTGTAATAGAAGTCTTCGGATTTTTAGATCAATGAACAGTTTGAAGAACACTATTTGATTATTTTATTTGATAATTTGATTAATTGAGAATAAAGAATCTTGTCCTTTATAAAAGTGAGAGTATCAAATGGGACATAGTACTTTCTATATATATTTTATATTATTTATATACAACTTATCAAATTCAACGAATCAAAATTCACTTTCGACCAAAAATGCAAATTTATTGGAAAATAAGGTTAAATCGCTCTCTGAGTAATGAAATCTGTTTCATTCGAAAACGATATGATATCTAATAACATAAATTGGCATTAAAACAATTCCTTATATAAATGAAAATACTAACCTTTTCATCCAGCCTTTCTTTTTGGAAACTCTACGTCCACTGATAGGCAAATGTCTTGCATCGCGCATTCGACCCATTTTTAACGAATAACTAAATTCACTACACTAAACTACACTAAATAACGTATTTTATTATATGTAATACACAATTACACATAAACACACCACAGTTTTTATAAAACTCGTTATAACGAGTGATTTTGAACTCTGTTACTGTACGCTCAGTACAGGGAAAAGTGATTGTCCGCGCACATGATCGCGTACGCGTATATGCATGAGCGTATGACTTGGTTTACTGCGCGGTACACATATACTGATATCGCACGTTTCTCTCTCTCTCTCTCTCTCTCTCTCTCTCTCAACTCTCGCGATCGACACTTCAGAGCCCTTTAATGTTAGCATCCGATTTATGTCGTGTTTAATGTCATTTTAATCGTAAAAATCTCATTAATCCATTAAAATTATTTTTAATCCGATAAAATGCGAAATAAAAGTTTTAGATTTTATTCAATAAGATATTTATATTTGTAGAGATAAGGAAAGATCCCCGATGCCGGAGAGTCGCCGAAAAAGAAAGCGAGAACGTATACGGAGCAAGCGAGATAGCTAACATTAAAGGACCCCGAAGTTTCGTCCGCGAGGGTTCCTTTATCTATAGCCTCGCGAGTGAGATTTCGGTTTTTTTGATGTTTGCCATCTCACTTGTTCCTTATTCGTTCTCACTTTCAAGATAGTGAACCACGAGGCAACGGCGCACGTGCTTGAAATCGGTCAGAAAATCGTGATTTGTTTTCAGTGGTTCAGTGTACATGATCGGCTACAGACGTTTAGAATGTTTCAGTGCTTATTCAGTGTATGAAGCAGCGACAATGCCGAGATAAGTAAGTACTTTTATATTCTACATATCATAGAGTATTATAGAGTAACATTTTTATATATATAATATTTATAAAGTAACATTTTTAGTGGATGTATTATAATTTATGAATCTTATTACGATGCATAAATTCTAATAATATACTGATAATGTTATTATAAAATGTATAATCTTATTTCTTTCCGCTCTCTTTCTTCTCTTTCTTTTTTCTCCTCTCTCTATCTCTCTCTCTCTCTCTCTCGCTAAATAAATAAATAAATAAAATAAAAACATATACTAATATTTTTTTTATCTATAGCAAAAAGTGAAGGCACTACTGTTTCACCAGGGCGATCGCGCAAAACGGCGACGACGCCGATCGCCAGGGAGACGAGATCGACGGCAACGGTGACGACGCCGATCGCCAAGGAGACGAGATCGACGGCAACGGCGACGACGCCGATCGCCAGGGAGACGAGATCAACGGCGACGGCGCCGTTCGCGTCTACAAATTCAAGAGCGCAGCAAAATAAGGTTAGCTTTTTAAATTTAGTTTTTAAATAAACAGTGAAAATGAGAAAAATAATTTTTTATTACGTTATAATGTATATTCTTTCTCATTTTTTCATATGCTGTGTATTACAATGTATGTGTGTGTATTGTATGTGTATAAATATAAATATAAAAATATTTTATTTTTTGCAGCGTATCAATAATGCGGTGAAGCGAGCATTGCAGAGGGAACGAAGCAAACAAAAAAGGAGGTACGTCGCCGGTGCATATGCGGCACAATCACCCGCCTATGTACCGGCGACGTACACTTCAGTGCTGTCTGCAGGATACATGTCTGGTGCGCCCGCAGCATCAGGATATATGCCCGCTGTGCCCGCCACACCAGGATACCCGGCTGCTGCTTCCGCAGCACTAGGATACGTGCCCGCTGTGTCCGCTGCACCAGGATACCCGGCCGCTGCTTCCGGAGCACCAGGTTATATGCCTGGTACGCCCGCCGCACCAGGATATATGCCTGGTACGCCCGCCGCACCAGGATACATGGCTGCCGCTCCCGCAGCACCAGGATACATGGCTGCTGCTCCCGCAGCACCAGGATACATGCCTGGTACGCCCGCCGCACCAGGATACATGGCTGCTGCTCCCGCAGCACCAGGATACATGCCTGGTACGCCCGTCGCACCAAGATACATGGCTGCTGCTCCCGCAGTACCAGGATACATGCCTGGTACGCCCGTCGCACCAGGATACATGGCTGCTGCTCCCGCAGCACCAGGATACATGCCCGCTGCGCCCACCGCATCAGGATACAACCATTCCACACCATTTTATATTTAATTTTATATATTATTTATTTTTCATTATTTTTATTTTTTGTGCATTTTAATATTTTATTTTTATTTTATATAAAATATTATTTTAATTTTAATTTTAATTTTATTTTTGTATATTTTGTGTCTTTTGTATCTTTTTTTTCTTATTACAATATTAATTTTACTTATTACTTTATTTAGAAATAATATTTAATAAAGATTTAAAAAAATAATATATACAATATATAATAAATGACATACATGCACATACCAAAACAGTTATATTAGAGAAATAATATTTCTCTACATGTATATAACTATGTATGATATGTGCATGTTTGTCATTATATATATATATATATATATAGGTATATTAATTGTACTTATTACTTTATTTAGAAATAATATGTAATAAAGGTGTAAAAAAATAATATATACAATATATAATAAATGACATACATATAATAAATGACATACATATGGGGCATTCTTTGTGAACCCGAGACCCCATGCTCTCCAGAATTGAGTTGCTCCAAAAAATATTTTTCAGGGTTGAAAATTTACCTAAACATGTCTACTTTTATTTGCCGTGTGGCCTTTTTGAAAATTCAAAATGGCGGCGCGTCCAAACTCCAAAATACCGAAAAACTATTTTATTTTCTTCCTATTGCGTGCGAAAAAAGTATTGTAGCGTATGTTCAAAGATTATTTTTGTCGTCAAAATTGTTTCTTCGTTTGCCTACTTCAAATTCGTGTAATATAATTTTGGATATTTAAGATAGCGGATCCAAAATGGCGGACCAAAATTCAAAATTTAAATGATTTGAAGGAAAATCGATACCCGGGGGTTTTCGTGGTCGCTGATCACGAATCTGAAGTCAAAATTCTGAAATTCAAAATGGCTGACCCAATATGCCCGACTGAAGTGCAAAATTTCACATAATTTCGATGAAAATCGGTATTCCGGGGTTTTCGAGGGCGCTGATTACGAATCTTAGATCAAAATTCTGGAAGTAATTAAAAAATCGAAAATAAATTCGAAGTTACGAAATTTTTACTTGGGGTACTTGGGCGCGCATTATTGACGTAAAAGTAAATGTTCGTAATTGTGTATACCGCTGACGTTAGCATCATCCAACATGTACCTTATACTTTATTTTTTAAAAAAGAACACAGATAAACTGAAATATGTAAAGAGACACAACTTCGGTTTACTTTTTTAACGGGATAAAATGTAAGTAAAAATATGACAGTTATTTGCAAATACGTACATTAATTTAGTATTTTTTTCTATATGGGTGATTTGCAAATTATACTTTATTTTTAACAGGATGATTGTTCTTTTAGGTGATCTAATAAAAATAAAAAAAAACTTTTATGCAAGTCATTTTTTAAAACATTTTTTATAAACAAATCCCATTTTAACTGTGTTCTCCATGTGATGTTTTAATTATTTTTATTGATAAATGTTCCTTACAATGTTGGTAAAAAATACGTGAAAAAAATAGCAATCAAATCACAATTTATTCCTATACTTTGAAGTCTGTATAATTTTTTGAACCAACACCGGAAAAAACCTACATGGCAAATTCAACTACCGTTGGATAGTTGAGTGGAAAGTATAACAAAAAGAACTACTTTTTTCAGTTAGATATATCCCCTATTAGTATTGTTGATTGTACTATTTGTACTTCAGTTAATAAATAGTAGTTAACTTTACCGCATATAGAAAAAAATACTAAATTAATGTACGTAAAGTGTGTTTAAATACTCGCATGTTATGAAAAAATTTGAAATAAACACAATTGCACGATTTGAAGGTCATTTGTATTTATTATCAAACATGAAAAACATCATTTGCAGTTTATCGATTAAATCGCTGGTTTAGCAGTAGGCTTTAACGAGTAATGTTTGTTTTTCTCGTTTCCCGCAAGTGAAGTAGCGTTCCCAGAAGTATCTAAGAGGCGCGTTTTCAGAGCACGGAAGTTTGTAACTGCTTGGAAGAAGACTTCAGTAATCATTCGATTTTTGTTTGATTTTGAGTATGTCCGGAACAGTTAAGGCACGTACAGATAGATGCTGCAATCCCTTCAAAGATTCAGGTGTAGATGGTCACAAAGGAAAAGATTTAAGATGTCTCTCAAAAACTATGAAAAAAAAGTTTCCTTTACTCCCTTCTAAAGCTAAAATTTGTTGGGAATGCAGGCATCGTAGTGAAGAGACTTTTAATAGCTTAAATTCTCAGTCATCCCAAAATTTGTTAGATGATGTCGATCAAGGCGATGTTGATATGGATAATGACGATTCTTCGGTTTCTAATGCTACTTTTCCATCTTCTTCTGTGGTTGTCATGCATCGTTCAGAAAGAGAAATTGAACTGGAAGAAATGCTACAAGGATTAAAAGATAAGTTTTCCAGTTTATCGATCAACGACTCAGAAAAATTGAGGATCTTAACGATTGCTCCGCATTCATGGTCTGCAAATAAAATTGCAAAAGAATTTGGATGTAGTTGGGAACTAGCACGTAAATCTAAAGAACTTAGAGCATCGGAAGGTATCTTAGGAAATACTACTTTGAAGTCCGGGCGAAAATTGTCTGAAGATACTGCTAAGAAAATAAATGACTTTTACGTCAATGATGCAAATAGCAGAGTAATGCCTGGAATAAAAGATGTTATTTCAGTGAAAAGTGACGAAAGTCGTTGTTTAATGCAGAAACGACTCCTGTTGATGGATTTGAGAGGACTGTACATAGCATATAATGAAAATCATGCGGAATCGCCTGTGAGTTTTAGCAAATTCGCTGAGCTTCGTCCAAAACAATGTGTTCTTGCAGGCTCCAGTGGAACACATTCCGTGTGTGTCTGCACAATTCATCAGAATTGTAAGTTACTATTGGATGCTATAAATGTTACACAACTCACTGAAAATACACAAAAATCAATCAATGACTACAAAGATTGTCTAAAGGAAATTACTTGTAATAATCCTGAAGAGAAGTGTTACTTGGGGGAATGTAACAAGTGTCCAGATGTTGCAGATCTCTCAGAATTTTGCGCAACACGTAAACATAATACTGTTGTCTTAGTGGTTAATGATGGGGGGGGGATTAAAAATTT